CCCCAAAACCCCAAAACCCCAAAACCCCAAAACCCCAAAACCCCAAAACCCCATTTAGGTCATGTATAATTGAAATATTATTCTTCTGGATTGGGTTCATCACAAGTGTAACGTGACAATTTGACAGGTTTTTGTGTAGAATTTTGGTTCTGTTTAGTTTTTTTATCAATCTTGATCGTCTGGAAGAGCAAGATCTGCAGAGTGCCTGAAAACAAGAGTACAGCTGAATAAATGCATATCAAGATCAATCTCCTAGACTCATCTTTAGAATATCCAGACATCTTGGGGTCTATGATATTTAAAATTGCAGGAATGAAGTTTAATGGTACCAAAGTCACCATTATCGTAGATGCTTTCTGAGGCAAATTTTGAGTCGAAAGAGACTTCTTAAAATTACTACTAAATGTGGTCAAGGTTATCATAGTTGACATAGTACAGAAAATGTTTATAACAGTAAATAAAATCTCTAAAGGTCCTATGTCCTTATCTCATGCGTCGGTCGCTATATAATCCACTATTTGCACAATGCACAGCAAACATATATTTAAACATAGAAAATATTTCTTAAACTTTTGCCATTTTAATGCTCCGCAAAAGGTTTGGACACGAAATTTCAATCATATTGGTAGAACCTGTACATTCCCTTCAACAAGATAAAGAACAGCTACAAACTTATCAGTGAGGTTGCTCCTAGAAACTCATCTAGTTTCCTTAACAGGATATTTCTGTTCTAATAAATTTAGATTATCTTTTTCACCAAGAGCTTCTTTCAGATCTTTCTTTGTGCCCTCAGATGCAGTGAGGCAATGTAACAACCCAGACTCCTTCACATAATTGAAATACAGGAGGAAATTGATGCACACAATGATTTCAATAACAGTAAGAAAAGCTCCACCAATTGGATATAGCCATAAGGCTAAATAAAGTAGAATAATAATAACAAGATTATCTGAGAACAGCAGCACTTGAGGTCTCTTTACGAACATCTCTTGGTCACTCCGACAGCATAGGACAAGATTGATAAGGTTAACCAGAAATGCTCCGAGTAATGCCAGATGGACGATGACCGCTATGGCCACAAAAGTGCTCGTATTATATTCAAGATCCATATTTAATTATATCTTCAGCCAAACAGCTTTTATTTGGGGTTTTGGGGTTTTGGGGTTTTGGGGTTTTGGGGTTTTGGGGTTTTGGGG